CTACAAATGATCAACAGACCTGTTAAACTACAAATGATCAACAGACCTGTTAAGCTACAAATGATCAACAGACCTGTTAGGCTACAAATGATCAACAGACCTGTAAGGCTACAAAAGGTAAAATGATTTGTAAGGTTACAAAGAGGTAAGGTGACTTGTTAGGTTATGAATTATCAGCTGATTTGTTTGCTTACAAAGGTCAGCTGATTTGTTTGGTTACAAATGGTCAACTGCCTTTGTAAGGTTTCAGATGGTCAAATGACTCGTTTGTTATGTTACAACTTGTCAGCTGACTTGTTAGGTAATAAATGTTCAGCAGACTTGTAAGGCTACAAATGTTGAACTGACCTGTTCGACTGCAAATTGTCCAATGATTTGTAAGGCTACAAAGGTAAGGTGACCTTTAAGGTTATAAATCATCAGCTGATTTGTTAGGATACAAATGGTCCACTGATTTGTTAGGTTACAAATGACTTTAATGTTCAAATACTACAGTTTTTGTGTGTATTAGAACCTTTAATGTCCAGACAATGCAGATTGTTTGTTTATTAAAACCTCTGATGTCTAGACACTGCAGGTTTTGTGTGTATTAGAAATTTTGATGTGCACACGCTGCACTTTTGATGTGAAGTGGAACCGGTGATGTCCAATCACTGCAGTTTTTGTGTGTATTAGAACTTTTGATGTCCAGACACTGCCGATTGTTTTTGCATTAGAACATTTGAAGTCCAGACAATGTAGCTTTTGTGTGTAGTAGAACCTTTGATGTCAGGACACTGCAGGTTTTGTGTGTATTAGAATCTTTGATGTCAGGATACTGCAGGTTTTGTGTGTAGTAGAACCTTTGATGTTCAGACACTGCAGTTTTGTGTGTATTAGAACCTTTGATGTCCAGGCACTGCACTTTTGATGTGTAGTAAACCTTTGATGTCCAGTCACTGCAGGTTTTGTGTGTAGTAAACCTTTGATGTCAGGATACTGCAGGTTTTGTGTGTAATAGAACCTTTGATTTCCGGATACTGCAGGTTTTGTGTGTAGTAGAACCTTTGATGTCCGGATACTGCAGGTTTTGTGTGTAGTTGAACCTTTGATGACAGGATACTGCAGGTTTTTTTGTGTAGTAGAACCTTTGATGTCAGGATACTCTAGGTTTTGTGTTTATTAGAATCTTTGATGTCAGGATACTGCAGGTTTTGTGTGTAGTAGAACCCTTGATGTCAGGATACTGTAGGTATTGTGTTTATTAGAATCTTTGATGTCAGGATACTGCAGGTTTTGTGTGTAGTAGAACCTTTGATGTCAGGATACTGCAGGTTTTTATGTGTATTAGAATCTTTGATGTCATGATACTGCAGGTTTTGTGTGTAGTAGAACCTTTGATATCAGGATACTGCAGGTTTTGTGTGTATTAGAATCTTTGATGTCAGTATACTGAAGGTTTTATGTGTATTAGAATCTTTGATGTCAGGATACTGCAGGTTTTGCGTGTATTAGAACCTTTGATGTCAGGACACTGCAGGTTTTGTGTTTATTAGAATCATTGATGTCAGGATACTGCAGGTTTTGTGTGTAGTAAACCTTTGATGTTAGGATACTGCAGGTTTTGTGTGTAGTAGAACCTTTGATGTTAGGATACTGCAGGTTTTGTGTGTAGTAGAATCTTTGATGTCAGGATACTGCAGGTTTTGTGTGTAGTAGAACCTTTGATATCAGGATACTGCAGGTTTTGTGTGTATTAGAATCTTTGATGTCAGGATACTGCAGTTTTTTTGTGTAGTAGAACCTTTGATGTCAGGACACTGCAGGTTTTGTGTGTATTAGAATCTTTGATGTCAGGATACTACAGGTTTTTTTTGTGTAGTAGAAACTTTGATGTCAGGATACTGCAGGTTTTGGGTGTAGTAGAACCCTTGATGTCAGGATACTGCAGGTTTTGTGTGTAGTAAACCTTTGATGTCCAGTCACTGCAGGTTTTGTGTGTATTAGAACTTTTGAAGTTCAGACAAGGTAGTTTTTGACAGTGTTTAAACTTTTGATGTTCAGACACTGCAGTTTTGTGTGTATTAGAACCTTTGATATTCAGGCACTGCACTTTTGATGTGTAGTGGAACCGTTGATGTCCAGACACTGCAGGTTTTGTGTGTAGTAGAACCTTTGACGTGCAGACACTGCAGTTTTTGTTTTGGGTGTAGTTGAGCTTTTGATGTTCAGGCACTTCAGGTTTTGTGTGTATTAGAACCTTTGATGACAGGATACTGCAGGTTTCTTTGTGTAGTAGAACCTTTCATGTCAGGATACTGCAGGTTTTGTGTGTAGTAGAGCCCTTGATGTCAGGATACTGCAGGCTTTGTGTGTATTAGAATCTTTGATGTCAGGATACTGCAGGTTTTGTGTGTAGTAGAACCCTTGATGTCAGGATACTGTAGGTTTTGTGTTTATTAGAATCTTTGATGTCAGGATACTGCAGGTTTTGTGTGTAGTAGAACCTTTGATATCAGGATACTGCAGGTTTTGTGTGTATTAGAATCTTTGATGTCAGTATACTGCAGGTTTTATGTGTATTAGAATCTTTGATGTTAGGATACTGCAGGTTTTGTGTGTAGTAGAACCTTTGATGTCAGGACACTGCAGGTTTTGTGTGTATTAGAATCTTTGATGTCCAGTCACTGCAGGTTTTGTGTGTAGTAAACCTTTGATGTCCAGTCACTGTAGATTTTGTGTGTAGTAGAGTCTTTGATGTCCAGTCACTGCAGGTTTTGTGTGTAGTAAACCTTTGATGTCAAGTCACTGCAGGTTTTGTGTGTAGTAAACATTTGATGTCCAGTCACTGCAAGTTTTGTGTGTAGTAAACCTTTGATGTCCAGTCACTGCAGGTTTTTTGTGTAGTAAACCTTTGATGTCCAGTCACTGCAGGTTTTGTGTGTAGTAAACCTTTGATATCCAGTCACTGCAGGTGTTGTGTGTAGTAGAACCTTTGATGTCAGGATACTGCAGGTTTTGTGTGTATTAGAATCTTTGATGTCAGGATACTGCAGGTTTTGTGTGTAGTAGAACCTTTGATGTCAGGATATTGCAGGTTTTGTGTGTAGTAAATCTTTGATGTCAGGATACTGCAGGTTTTGTGTGTAGTAAACCTTTGATGTCCAGTCACTGCATATTTTGTGTGTATTAGAATCTTTGATGTCAGGATACTGCAGGTTTTGTGTGTATTAGAATCTTTGATGTCAGTATACTGCAGGTTTTGTGTGTAGTAGAACCTTTGATGTCAGGATACTGCAGGTTTTTATGTGTATTAGAATCTTTGATGTCATGATACTGCAGGTTTTGTGTGTAGTAGAACCTTTGATATCAGGATACTGCAGGTTTTGTGTGTATTAGAATCTTTGATGTCAGTATACTGCAGGTTTTATGTATATTAGAATCTTTGATGTCAGGATACTGCAGGTTTTGTGTGTAGTAGAACCTTTGATGTCAGGACACTGCAGGTTTTGTGTGTATTAGAATCTTTGATGTCCAGTCACTGCAGGTTTTGTGTGTAGTAAACCTTTGATATCCAGTCACTGCAGGTTTTGTGTGTAGTAGAGTCTTTGATGTCCAGTCACTGCAGGTTTTGTGTGTAGTAAACCTTTGATGTCAAGTCACTGCAGGTTTTGTGTGTAGTAAACATTTGATGTCCAGTCACTGCAAGTTTTGTGTGTAGTAAACCTTTGATGTCCAGTCACTGCAGGTTTTTTGTGTAGTAAACCTTTGATGTCCAGTCACTGCAGGTTTTGTGTGTAGTAAACCTTTGATATCCAGTCACTGCAGGTGTTGTGTGTAGTAGAACCTTTGATGTCAGGACACTGCAGGTTTTGTGTGTATTAGAATCTTTGATGTCAGGATACTGCAGGTTTTGTGTGTAGTAGAACCTTTGATGTCAGGATATTGCAGGTTTTGTGTGTAGTAAATCTTTGATGTCAGGATACTGCAGGTTTTGTGTGTAGTAAACCTTTGATGTCCAGTCACTGCATATTTTGTGTGTATTAGAATCTTTGATGTCAGGATACTGCAGGTTTTGTGTGTATTAGAATCTTTGATGTAAGGATACTGCAGGTTTTATGTGTATTAGAATCTTTGATGTCAGGATACTGCAGGTTTTGTGTGTAGTAGAACCTTTGATATCAGGATACTGCAGGTTTTGTGTGTATTAGAATCTTTGATGTCAGGATACTGCAGGTTTTGTGTGTAGTAGAACCTTTGATATCAGGATACTGTAGGTTTTGTGTGTAGTAGAACCTTTGATGTCAGGATACTGCAGGTTTTGTGTGTATTAGAATCTTTTATGTCAGGATACTGCAGGTTTTGTGTGTAGTAGAACCTTTGATGTCAGGATACTACAGGTTTTGTGTGTATTTGAATCTTTGATGTCCAGTCACTGCAGGTTTTGTGTGTAGTAAACCTTTGACGTCCAATCACTGCAGGTTTTGTGTGTAGTAAACCTTTGATGTCCAGACACTGCAGGTTTTGTGTGTAGTAAACCTTTGATGTCCAGACACTGCAGGTTTTGTCTGTATTAGAACATTTGATGTCCTGTCACCTCAGGTTTTGTGTGTATTGGAACTTTTGATGTCCAGTCACTGAAGGATTTGTGTGTAATAGAATCTTTGATGTCAGGATACTTCAGGTTTTGTGTGTAGTAAACCTTTGATGTCCAGTCACTGCAGGTTTTGTGTGTAGTAAACATTTGATGTCCAGTCACTGCAAGTTTTGTGTGAAGTAAACCTTTGATGTCCAGTCACTGCAGGTTTTGTGTGTAGTAAACCTTTGATGTCCAGTCACTGCAGGTTTTGTGTGTAGTAAACCTTTGATATCCAGTCACTGCAGGTTTTGTGTGTAGTAGAATCTTTGATGTCCAGTCACTGCAGGTTTTGTGTGTAGTAGTATCTTTGATGTCCAGACACTTAATCTCTCATTGACATCTTACTAGGAGTATTACAAAAGAATGAAAATTAGAGATCTGATTTCAACTGGATTGATTTCATTTGTGCAACTGTTAAAGGATATAATTTTGTTTGTGAGTAAAGTAGAACCTGCTGGTTAAGATACTAACATGTTCGTTGATTAGAATTTTGCTAATTAAGATACTTCAGTTTGTCAATACATTCCAATGTTGGTATTTAGAGATTTTTAAAAACATTTTAATGATCATCAATTGTAATAATTTTCAACTCTTTAAAAACTTATGAACAAAATATTAAAAGCAAACCAAAATCATAAAGACCCTTCAAAAATATCAAATCAAATCAAAAGTCTTTGCAAACATCCCGAAGACACCCTTCTTGTGAATATTTTTCACAAGTCCTCATTCAAATCTTCAAAAGCATATCATTAAAGGTACAGAATGTAGTTAGGTCTTTAATGCTTGTTTCTTATCTGGTCATATTGGTTGTGTGGGTTGTTTGCCAGTCACTTACTTCTTTGTTATTTTTGAGTTTAGAACACTACACATTCAGGAGTTATCTTTTTAGAGTTTAGAACACTACACATTCAGGAGTTATCTTTTTAGAGTTTAGAACACTACACATTCAGGAGTTATCTTTTTTGAGTTTAGAACACTACACATTCAGGAGTTATCTTTTTCGAGTTTAGAACACTACACATTCAGGAGTTATCTTTTTCGAGTTTAGAACACTACACATTCAGGAGTTATCTTTTTTGAGTGTGGAACACTACACATTCAGGAGTTATCTTTTTTGAGTGTGGAACACTACACATTCAGAAGTGAAGCCTTTTTCATCGCTTCTTCTTAAAATGAAGCCATTTTCACTCTTGTCTTTCATCAGAGCATATAACACAGTGTTGCCAAGCAGTGCTGCATTTTCCTCTCACATTTTGTCATGATTAGCACCATTACTGGTCATTCTGCAGAGTGGCCTTTTCTCCTATTTCTGGATTGCTTGACAGCAGGACAGATTATCAACATTTGTCAACAGAACTTGGGACATTATCATGTATACCATCTAGTGGTGTTGCATTTTTCTCCTTTTCTTCTGTCAGAGCTCGAGAGGAATGTCTATAGACAGCAAAGGACACCCCCTGTAATATCCAAAATATAAAATAATTAGCAAATCAAATTTCTATCAGCAGAAATAAATGTTAGTTTATATTCATTTAATGTAGCTTGTCATACATACATTAAACAAAACAAGTTGTTAAAGGTCTAAAGCAGTTGAAAGAGAACAAAGAATTGTATAGAAAACATATTAGTGAATAGCACTGTTCAATACAAATTCAGAAGTAGATCGTATTGAAATAATGAATTCCACTGCATCACATTGGAATTTTTTCTCCTTCTAGAACATGTTGTTGCTACAGGCCTGAAGTGTTGAAGGTCAAAATTAGTTCATATAATGTAAAATTTAGCTAAGAAAATGGGGCAAAGCCACAATTGGCCAGGTTGCAGGATGAGTGCAATGTTATATGGTATTTATAAGACGGTTAAAGGTGTTTCATTTGTTGAGTATATAGAATATTTGTTATAAGAGAGAAAGTTTGGTTGTATTTTATGAATTGGTGCAGAAGAAGGGCATTTGAAGAAAGAAGTTGTACCCATTTTTGATTCGCAGATGTTAAAAAAATAGACAATGGACATCTAGGGCCCACAGGTGATTTATAGGTGAAATTTGGAAAGATTCTTGTAGTAGATTTGGAGAAACTGTGATAACAAGAAAAGTTTCAGAAATGGACAACAGATGATGGACCACGGACAACTGTTGATTTGATCAGCCTACTATGGATGGTGGGCTAGGAACTTAACAGCTCCTAAACTATAACCCAGATTTGCACTATATGTGCAACCTGGCCAAAAATTCAATAACTTTCAAAAAGGCCTATAACCATTCACTTGTTTTGTATGAGTGAATGGTCTAAACTAAAGCAGAGCTCTTCCTTAATGTAGTTAAAAAGACATAACGTAATATTCCACAAACAGAGAGTCATTTCAGGTGATGAAATTCACTATGCTTATTTAAATCAAAGAATGTTTTTAAATCAATTTAAAATAACTAAACAATGTTCAAATACCTTTATTTATCTGTGTATCGCTGATAGTTTTCAGTCTATGTATATAGAATTCGGGATATATAATATGCTATGTTTAGAAAGCATGTTTAACAAAAATTCAATGGACACGAGTAATAGAGTAAATCACTTAAATTTCATATGGGATTTATTATCATGTTCATACAAAAGGAGAGTTAATCCTAAATTCCAATTCCTTGAGGTTATTTGTACAGAAATAATACTTGACATTCATGCTGTCAATATTTCTAATAGCCAATCATTCACAAATTTATTAATTTCTGGATCACCATTCATGAAACCATGTATTTGCAAATATATCTGAAAAGGTAAAGTATTTGGCAAATTTAAGTCATTTCAGTCATACAGTAATCAATTCTTTCTTTATGTCAAACATCAACCCCATTCTTTCCTGTGCATGCATATATTCACAGAACTTGAACCAATTTCATTACCGCAATTCAAGAAATCAATGAATCTGTGAGTCTTGCCAACTCTGGCAAACAATGTTTGCTTCAAAGAAGCATTTTTGACTCTTTGTTGTGACAACACTGTATGAATCAGTGTACAATTTAACATAAAAGAAATAAGAGGAGATGTTTCTATAATTTCCTCAACTGTCTCGTGCTAATTGATTCTATAGATAACTGATTCCATACCCATCGATCTGGTCCAGGAGTGTAGGAGTTTAAGTCTGTGATCAATGACATATTGGATAGTGACTGAGTAGGGGTAACACCGAGAATAACCAAACAAAATGTAATGTTGCTGATCAACGAACACCGCATCATCTCCATGTGAATTATGTATGTCGGTTTAGATGACAGCCTGAGGTGAAGCAAATTTTTGTCAATGTAGCTTAGTGAGAATGACTCCTAGTTCCTTCTTAACTTTCTGGCGCTACCCTTGACTATGTAAACATCTCTGTACGACCTTTATGACATATATAGATATTTATCTTAACCATTTAGCATAACTTTGCTGGTTTCATACATTTACTTGCTATACCCCAATTAATGATTCTGTGAGAAGACTCGCATAACCAAGTTATAACAAGGAAACACCAAGGAAACCAACCTGCTACATATTACAATACCTTGTGATACTTATTTTTGTACATTGTGACCTTTTTAAATGAGACCCTTGAGGAACCAAGGCATCAGGTATCACCTTCAATGGTCCTAAGTAAGTTTGATCTTAACTTTTTTCTTCCATTGTTCTTAAAGTTTTGAATTGTGGTAATATTGTTCCACCAGGAACATAAGAACTTAAGAAATTTAAAATCTGAATCTCTCTGATAGTATGATAGTTTTGAAGCAGTTGAACAGTATGAGTTGGAGGATAACACACTGTTATAGTCTTAAAATAATGAACACAACATCACTTCTTCACTGCATACCATGTATACTATATATATATAGTCTTCACTACATACCATGTATTCTATATAAATATATATATATATATACAGTCTTCACTACATACCATGTATTCTATATATATATATATATGTACAGTCTTCACTACATATCATGTATACTATATATGCATGGGGTGTTGTGATATTGGTTTGCAGAGTGTGAATTGGAACTTAATAGGATTTTTTGTCATTGTTTGTTAAAATATTGATAAATCTTATTAAGGTAGTCTTGACACGATCATTTCATCGAAATGTGAAGTGAAACAGTATTGTCCTTTGACAAAACACATGTTGACATCCTGTGGTCCGTATATATCATGGTTGGGGCCATAAGTTGTGCCAGCTAGCAAGTTCATGATCCCACTAAGTCTAACTAATGCTAATTAAGTGACATGTATGTGTATAATCTGACACTATCAACTGCTTTCTCTTTACAGCCTGCTACCCACAGCATCTAATGCTGATGTGAATAGTGACCACTTGTGGTGAAAAGTGACCACTTGTCGCGATTATTGCAATGCCAATGCATTTCAGTAGTTAAATGTGCTATCCCGCAATAATGTTCCAACAATTCAAAATCGTAAGTGAAACAAGACTAGAAAAGGATTTGAACTATCACTAGACAGAAAATTGTTGTTTTTATTGAAAACTTGAACTGACCATAGGTTTACCATATATATTGAAGAAATGCATTAGTATTGGGAATTACCTATTAAGCATTTCAAATTGCACAATCCTAAGAAAACTTATACTTATATTTTTTTCTATTGTGAAGAATTCTTAAAAACAATTACATGCAAAACAAGATTTTTTCAAAACCTGGAAAGAATTACAAAATTTCCAAAGTCTTAAGTGATACAGATGAACAAGATATTTTGAATTATGAAATACTGATAGACAAGAAGATAAAGAGACGACTTGGCAAGGCTGACACACAAGTAAAATATTCGAGACAAAGGTGGTTTTTTCATTAGGTAGAGACTTGTTGACATGGTAGTATGACTTAATATTGACTAACATAGAGTATAGATAGTTTGTTGACCTCGGTGTGCATCAGTCACGATGTCTTGGTTTATTAGCAGAATGCTGTATAAGTGAACATTTCCTGACCCATAAGACCATCGCCATTAACGATAAAACCACACTAATAACTACTCTTCCTGTCCACTGGGTGTCTCCCACACAACACCATAGTAACCAGACAAGTTGGAGATACATTGGGAAGGCTCTAATGGTTTTTCCTAGGTCAATTGGTCCATCACAACATGTGTGATCACAGAAATCCAAACTGGAGGAATCAAGAGACAGACAGAAAATGTTGATCAAACATTTTTGCAATCAAATACTACTTGATCAAATTACTGAACTGGCCATCTTCAACTTTATCTGTACTAACTTAAAATAATTTTTTTTCTAGTTGATATATAACAGATTTGAGAGGGATGTTATATCCCATCATACTATCATTTTTGTCCAGTTGATATATAACAGATTTGAAAGGGATGTTATATCCCATTATACTAAAATTTCTGTCCAGTTGATATATAACAGATTTAAGAGGGATTTTAGATCCCACCAAAGTTTTATTCTTGTTCTTTAAAACTAGGATCTCTCCCTTCTCTTCTTTCTTCTTAATCAATCTTATTACTCTTAATTACTCTTAATGATATGAAATTTGAGAATTCCTATTTAGAAATAACAAATATAATCTTTAACTGTCAAAGTAAAGATGGTCACTTGTCAGCAATTTTTTACTGAACAGTCCAAAAGTCAGCAATTTTTTTCTGAACAGTCCAAAAATCCAATGGGCATGTCCATAAAGAGATGAAGGAGAAGACCATTATCCAGTGCTTCACAAGAAATAGCTATACAATCCTTCATACTTAAAATCAAAGATGGCTTTCTTTCAGCCTTTTTGCTTTTCTGACCAATCTCAAAAACAGATGGACATAATAAGGGACCAAGGGGAAACCTGCATATACAATTTGAGAAACAAAAGGCCCAATGGACCTGCATTGCTTGCCTGGTAATCAATGTATATCAAAAGTAGAATTGATCTTAATATCACAAATATATTGACATGTACACTGTTAGCATTCAAAGTAAGCACATCAAATCAATTATAACCAATTTCCATAACAAACAGCTTCTAGAACTCAACTCTAGACGATGACAGTTACAACCTGGATTATAAGTGCCATTTCTTTTTTTCTCAAAATTTGTTCGGCACCTAATATATTGCTTCTATGACTTTTGGTTTACTTGACAAAGTGTTCTACGAATTTCAACAAATTTGATCCCTGGGCTCCAACTTCCAATTTAGGCGAAGGCCATTTCTTTCTGTCAGGTGTTATCCTCAGAACCTATAGCCCAAATCCATGCTCCTGTGCCTTTTGATTAGTCAGAAGAAGTTGTTCTAAGGTTTTACTAAAATTTATCATCTATGACCTTGAATAAAGGTCAAGGTCATTTCTTTTCACAAATTTTGCTAAGCTTTCTCCTAGGAATCATGACCTGAACATCGTGTTTCTGTGTCTTTTGGTTAGTCAGAATAAGTTGTTATTAATGTTTTATCAAATTTGACCCCTTGTGACCT